CGACCCTCACACTCCCGCTGTGTCCCCAGGCCCCTATGAGAACCGCTCCGTGTTCGAGTCGCTGGATCTGGGCTGGAAGCTGTTGCGCATCTTCCCCAAGGAGATGCTAAAGCGCATCCCGCAGAGCGTGATCGACGAGTTCTACGCCCGCGAGGGGGCGCCGCAGGACCTCGAACCGGAGCCGGACACTGCGCTCTAGCCCCTCCGCAGCCCTGCGTCGGGTCTTCCCAGTCCGATCTGCGGGCGCCCCACATGCCCGAGGCCTCCTTCCTCCCCTCCCCACCCCAGTCTCCCCGATCTTTGGCACTGTGATCAATAGATTGTTAAGCACTGACAGGGGCTTAACTATTTTTATTTTAAAAGCGCCCCCAAGGAAGTAACCGAGATGAATTTGTCTTAAGCGAAAACAAGATGGGCAAAAAATCGATCATTGTTAGAGCTGGGGGTGACGGATACATGACGTTCATTAAAGAATTCTTTCTAGTGTAAAAAATAAAAGGCTCTATTAGTGTCTTAACTGACAATCGAATTCCTCTTACACTTTTGTTAAGATCTTTGTTAAGACGTGTCTTGATAAATTTCTTAGATGGAACATGAGCCCAGGGGGCAATACAAGGGGCAATCGAGGCCACCAAGGATGCTGGGTTCATTTATTCTAAGTTTTTAAATGAATTCGGTTAAGGGCGCTGGACTCCCGCATTAAGCCAGAGGTTCGAGTCCCTGACCTGGTGGCTTGCTTTCTCATTTTCTCTTTCTCTCTTTCACTCTGTCCCTCTCTGATCAAACTAAAATAAATAAGTACAATAAATAAAAGTTAAATAAAATAATTATTTAAAATAATTTTCAATATACGAAATTATATCTTCTATAAAGATAGTTTCGTGTCTTTCTGTTGCATTTGGATACCTAATTTCCCTGGCTAGACCTCCAGCACACCGTTGAATACGAATGACAGGAGTGGACATCATTGTCTTGTTTCTGACCTTAAAGGGAAATTTCTCAATTGTTCACCACTAAGATTCCCTTTATCAAGTTCAGGAAGCTCATTCTATTCCGGGTTTGTTGAGTGTTTTATCTGAAGAGGTGTGGGATTCTGTCAAAGGGTTTTTTTATGTCTATTGAGAGGATCATGGCTTTTGTCTTTTAGCCTACTGATGTGGTGTGTCCGATTGATTTTCAGCTGCTAAACCAAACTTGCATTGTTGGTATACTAATAGCACTTTGTCACAGTATACACCCCCTCCCTTTTTTTTTAAATTATCTTACAGGATTTGGTTTATGAGTGTTTTGTTGAGGATTTTTGCATCCAAATTCACAAGAGATATTGGTCTGGATATTTTTTTGTGTGTCACATGTTTGTCACACAACCCTGATTTTATATCAGGGTTACACTAGACTCATAGAGTAAGCTGGAATTGTTTGTTCTTCTATATTTTTAGAAGTCTGTGGGACCTGGTAGGTTGTATGGTGGTTAAGGCACTGGACTCCCACATGGCTGACCAAAGTTCAAGTCCCAGACCTGGAGGCTTGCTTTCTCATTTTCCCTCTTTCTCTATCTCTCTCTCTCTGTCTATGTTCAAATTTTAAAAAATAATAAATAAAATTAAACAAATAATTGTTTAAAAAATAATTGTTCGTTTAATTATATATA